GGAACACACCATTTTGGGAGTGATTTTAACAGCCTGAGAGAAGAAGACAGCACTGTAAAAGCCAGTGGAATAGGCTCCCTGCATACTTTCCCTCTCACTTGGAAGCATGAAGCCCCAGGGAAGTCAGCGACTGCAACCAGGGAAAGAAAGAAAGCTAGCAACACAAACAGAGGCTATCTGGCCCCTCCCATCCTCCCAAGCACCAGGGAACACGGTGTCCCCGTGTCATCCTACCCACTGAGCGGCATCAACATGGGAAGCCCCCTAACAAAAACAGAGAAAGGCTGAACATCACAAATTGTGGGCGGCACTGTTCTTGTCGGCAGGGAGCCACAGGTGGTATAATCTTGGGGACATGAAGGAGCGGGAAAGAGTCAATCGTGTCAGACTAGAGTGGGTGTTTCCCATCATTTCTCCAGTCACCTTCCAGATGAGACACAGTGTCACAACCTGCCCACTTCCTACCCTCCCACAAAGGCAAGGAGGCACCCCACTGACCACGCTGCCCAATTCCACAGGCTGGAAAATGGAGCTCTTGAGACAGAGACCTGGAAGGGATAAATATCTGAGGAGAAAGGAACAGAGGCTCAGCTCACACTGGGCAGAAGACCAGTCTTAATTACTTTCTCATCACTGAGACACATTAGCTGACATCCACAATTTAAAGGAGGAACGATTTATTTTGGCTTACAGTTTGTAGAGGTTTCAGAACATAGTGCCAAGGCAGAGGAACATGGCAGAGAATTGCTTATGGCATGGCAGGAGGAAGCAGAGAGCTCCAAGAGGAGCAGGGAGCGAGCTAGATCTTTCCAGGCAATGCCTATGGTGACAGATCTCTTCTAACCAGACCCGCCTCCAAACAGCAAGTATCCTTCACAATCCAGTCAACTCCCAAAAGCCCCACCTATGAGTGCCTGAGGCTCCTGGAGGAAATCCAGATAGATGCTATAACAAGACCCCTGGAGAGAGAACGTGAACATAAGCGTGAGATGTGTCCTCCAGGGAGGGGAGCAGGAATGGGAGGTCACTGGCAAAAGATGAAGAGAACCATGGGTGGGGCACACCGCATCACATCCTCTCTTTCCTAACACAGCTGAGGGGGTCACATGTAGAAACAGAGACAAAGGTCTAAGTTGGCCGTGCCCAAAGCACAGGTTCCAGTTCGGAGGCAGGTCCTGCCAGGCTGACAGCCTTCACCAATTAAAGGCAGGCAGTTACGCAGGCTACCAGGGGAAAATCAGCTTGGCTGCCTGCAATTAAATAAGGGCCACAGTACGAAGGCAACTAGGAGGACACTCTGAAGGTACGGTATAGGACGGATATACAGAGGGGTCTTTATTTGACTGTCTGTTCTGGCTGTCTTTGTATTTGTTTTCTTTTCCTTCCTTCATTCCTTGCTTCTTTATCAATTCATTTTTTTCATTTTTTCCTTTATTCCACTATGTCTTTCTTCTCATTTCTCTTTTTACCTTTCTTGTTTCCCTATTCTTTTTCCTTCACCTCTCATTTTCCAATCTCCTTGTCTACCCTCTCTTCCTCTTCACCGATTCTGCAGCATATATTCTAGCAGGTGCCTGTATATGTGCTAAAAATATGACTGGACCAGTCCTTTAACTTGAATGGCACCACTGATGGGCATACGGTGGTAACCCCTCTCAGAAATGTGCTTAGACAATACAAACAAAATAAACTATAAATATATTAATGTGTATTGATGACCACAGAGCTTCCTTTACTCTGTAAATATACTTCCTTCCCACTACATCACTCCACCCACCTCCACAAGTGTTCTCTGAAACCTTTCAACACTACTCCTTACTCCAACCATAAAAATAACACTAACAAGAGTCTGAACTCCTGTCTATTTTCACCTAAACATTTCTTTTATCTACCTCTACTATTACTGACTTACTACCTTCCTTTCCTCCTTCCTTATTCCTTCCTTCTTCCCTCCACACCCCAGACTAAACACTATTAGCAGTGAATTATAGTCTATAAGCTAATAATACAGAACAGGCAAAAAATGTCAAAAAAAAGTTTCCATGTTTATGACTGATGTATGCAAGGATCTGTGGATGCTGTTAAAACTGATAGGAATTCTCTCCTTACAATATAGTGACTGGCTCCAATGCAAGTAAAATGAATAGCTTTAAATGGTAGACAAAAAAATTCTTGAAAAATAAAACCACGATCACATCACTGGAAAACATAACCAACCTAAAGAGATCTTCATACCAACAACAAAGGCATCACTCTATTTCGTTTCAAACCTCAATGTATACACACACACACAGGAACACGAAAAATCTAGTAAACAAAATGCCTACAAAAATGTCCAGCTCTCACAAAGCTGATCCAAGCGACATCCACAGAATTGAAATCAAACAGTAAGTAGCTGAGCTGTATAAAATGATCAAATAGGAAGGAAAAACTCAGTGGGGTTAAACATGATACAAATGGATAGTGGAATTAACAAATAAACCAATGTGGTTAAGAGTCAAAGAAAAAATTAGAAGAGCTGATTAAAATGATTAAAACTATAAAGGACAAATATCTTTTAAAAGGAGAGTTTATAAAAGATGCCAAACAAAAATACTGGAGATAAAGAATTATATTGAATCTGTGAAGAGCACAAGTGACCAATGTGAAGAGAAAGTGTCAGATCAGAAGCACAGATGATAAACTAAGAGATGCTTTAAAAACAACTAGAGAGCAAAGAAAATTGATCCAACTGCTCCCGGATGACCCTAAAACTAACATAAGAACAACTGGAGTTAGAGAAAAATTAGAGGAAGCACATACGGGATTGAAAAACCTGTTTATATAAATCATAGCAGAAAACTTCCCAAGTATAAAGAAAAAAACCAATATACAGGTGAAGAAGGCTTACACAATGTCGAGTACCTACAATGAAAAGAGAAGCTCCCCAAGCCACATCACTGTCAAAATCACAGAAGTCAAACAGAGAAAAAATCTTAGAAGCTGTCAAAAAAAGCAAAAAAACTCATTTCTGAAGTTAAATGCACTAAGGTTACTGCAGACTTTTCAACATAAACTGTAAAGAGCAAAGTGGAGTGAAGCGTTTCAAGCCCTAAAAGAAAACAACCTCCAACGAAGATTAATAAGTCCTGCAAAACTATCTCTCAAATTTTATTAAAAAGGAGAACCTACCATGACGAAGAACAACTTAAGAAATTCATAACACCAAACTATCACTCCAAACAATTCTCAAGGATATCTTAGACAGAGCCAATAAATACAACAGTGTAAGAATTTTGATGCAATAAATACATCAAACAGGGTATGCAGTTAAACAAAAAGGGAAAAGAAAAGGAATCAATCACAGAAAAATAATGCAATGACAGAAAAAAAAAAGTCAGTACCTTTCAGCAATAATTCTCAATGTAGAATGTCCCAACTCCTCAATTAAATGACACAGCTTGGCAGACTTGATAAAAAACAAAACTCAGTGGTTTTCTACACACAAGAAATACATGTAACCCTCAAGGAAATTCATAGACAAAAAAATCAAAGGACAGAAAAATATTCCAAGCATCAAGACCTGAAAGAAAGCAGGAGCATCAGTCTTATTCTCAAAGTAGATTTCAAACTAAATCTTCTCAGAACAGGCAAAGAATGTCACCACATATTAGTTAAGGGAACATTTCAACAGGAGAGAAAACAATTGTGAGTTTATACACAATGAATATTGGTGCACCTAACTTTATAAAACAAATACTATGGGACAAAAAGTCAAATAAACATCAACAGCATTGTAGCAGGTGACTGCAAAACCCCAATTTCACAAAAAGTTTAATTAGGTAAAAAAAAAAAGTCTCACAACTTCACCACATGTTCAATCTTATGGACTTAGTAGATATTGCACAGTGTTCTACGCTACTAAAATAGAATGCACATTCTTCTCAGCAATACATGGAAATTTCTCCAAAAGTATCACATACTAATCTTTGCAGCCTACTTAAATAAACACAAAAGAATGGGAATTACCGCATGTATACTATCAGATCATAGCACATTGAAATTAGAATCCCATCACAAAAACATCTAGCAAAATCAAGCAAATAAATCTTGGAAATGTCTTAATAAAGGCACTATGGTGTGAAATAATGCTCGGGTTTCATATTATCCTCTAAATAGTACACAAAGAAAGGGAATCAAAATATCAGTGCAAAAATTTTGTGAACAAAATTGACATTTTTACCACATCACACAAATAAGGATTAGAATACGTGTTCCAATACCAAATAAATTCTGTGCCAAAATAGAAGACTTAATGTGACCAAGGTACAAACTAAAATTATTTGAACCAAAAATCATAAAAGTCTCAAAAATTACCAAGACCAAAATGACACAGCTGTTGGAGTTATTTGACAAGAAGTGTTTGAAAGAAATTAGTGTAAACATGGTAGAATAAGAAACTATAAATATGCACAACACATGGAAAAAGCATTTGCACAAAGATATAGAAAATACATTAAACTAAAAACTAAAAAGGTTTTTATACTGAAAAATACAATCAGTTAAATAGAAAACTAATGGATAGGCTCAATGAAAGAAAAGGGTGTGAGGAGAATTTATCCAACTTGAACAAAGAAA